TTCCGTGCTAAGAAGCTCGAACCTCATACAGTGGAAAGCCAAGTGAACCACTTAAGAATTTAAGGGAGCGTCCAGCAGCTCAGTGGGGGATGGACTGAAGGAAGAACAACTGATGGCAGGCAAACCAGCAAGGCCACCACGGCAGGTCAAGGGAGTGGATGCAGTGTGGCAGAGGAGTACAAGAAAGAGCTAATCCCACCGCTGACTCTGCGGTGCGGTGGTGGGCAGGTCCCTGTGACTGACAGGAGGGGAAGGAGAGCAGGGGGACAGAAGGACAGCCCCAAAGAAGCCAGCTGGGGACCTGGGGGGGAAGGTCTGCTACAGACTCTGGGGCTCTGCTTCAGGGACTGCATTATGGGTGATAAATTCACGGCCAAGTTACTTTCTTATGAAGGTTACCACAGATACATCGGCGTGACAGGTGAGGCGTGGGGGAAGAAGGTTTGGTGGGTTCGAGTTGGAGCTGAATATTAGATTCTAGTCACTATTTGATTGATCTTTTAAGCAATTCTGGGATTCTGTCACTTAAAAACCAATAAATCTTTGAAGGCCTGGGGAAAGCAATGCAAAAGCAATAAATCTCCATTGTGGAGTATTAGAAAAATAGGCCAAGCTTCCGAGGTGGTTTGGATGGAGGGATGGGGGTGCAGGAGCCCCACAAGACAATCCGCTCTTCTCCTCCTTGCCTCCCTGCATGGTGGGGGGAGGGGGCCTGCAGCTGAGGCTCAGGAGGAAGGCTGCTGGAGAACCGGCTGCTTGACTCAGGGACGTGCTGGGGTTCACAAGTTACAGGCTGGACCTGCACCGTCCTGGGCTGGAGGCCCCCTGTGAATTCACCTTGCCTGCCCCAAATTCCCAAGTCAATGAGAGCTCACTCAACAGCCCTACCAAAAGGTTACCGAGACCTCACTTGACATCCTGGGCAGAGAATACAGAACGTCCTGAGGGAGCAATAAACTCAGAAGCAGGAAGCGAGGTCCATGCACTGGCTCCATGGAAACGAACTCCATGACCCTGGGCCAACCACTTAGCATCTTAGACCTCAGCTTCCTCCTCTGATATGCAGATGGTACTCCCCACCAGCTGACTCACTGGGTAAGCGAAGATCACATGATACAATGGAATTAAAGGAGCTATCAACCAGAAAATATGATTCCAGGCACCCATGACCCAATCCATCCAGTGGCTCACCATGTCCTACGGTTAGAGAGCCTTCACTGTCTTCTTGATGCCCATGCTTCCCTGACCTGTGGGACTCCTCACTGGCCTGCTTGCCAGGGTTGTGCCTATCCCTCTGGCCAGTCCAGTTCTCTCCATCAATACACTATCCCCACAGGCTTCATAGTATCTTGTTCTGCCAGTTTCAGTACTGGGTCTGCTTACCTGCTCCATGCCCTGCCTCTCTCCCTGTCTGCATGCACACTTGCTGGATGCTAAGCCTCAAGAGGACAGGTGTGTATCGACCTTGTGTCTTGCTCTATCCCCATTGCTTAGCTCAGTTCCTGGGACACAGCAAGGGCTCAATATATATACGCTGAATGACCTAATGGTCACCTGCCTCCCAGATGGGCATCCCAGTGCCTAGAGTTCAAGATGAAAGAGGGTTAAGGTAACTGAAATCTTCCATGACATGGCCACTGCTATTGTTGCTGTTGGCCTGGAAGTCACGCAGGCCGGCACTGGCTAGTCTCCTTCCCTTCCTGGCAAATGCCCAAGCAACAGTCTGAAAATAATTCCCGAAACTGAGCGTACACCCACCCTCAGTGATCCAGAGCCTTAAGAAGAAAAGCATCCAGACATTTCCAGACACCAAGCATTGCCCCTTTGAGCGGTGACATTTAATTTTTTTTTTCCAATGGAAATGTCACGAAAATATGGCATGCACAACTTTCTCCTCGGGAGGTAGTGTGAAATGAGTGCTGGCTTAGGGTCAGCTGAACTGAGTTTAAATTCTGCCTCTACCGCGGCTTGTCTCGTGGCCTGGGTCAACTTACTTGGCCTCTATTGATCTCCGTTTCTGTATCTGCAAAATGGGGAGACGATTATGGCAATGTTGTGAAGATACAGAAAGTTTATGTATGGCGACAGGCACGTAGTGAGGGCTTACTCATTACATGGGAACTAGCAGGCTCTTTTCACTTGAAGACGCAGAACCTAACGCTACATTTTTAGTTGAATCAGAGCAGCTAACGAACATCCATGGCTGTGAGTGGCTGCAGGGGTCACAGCAGGTACACCTCCCCGTTTGCTGAGTCATCTGTGATTGTTTTGTAGACTTGCCCTGTTTTTTTGCTCCCTGCTCACTGTCATTTCTCACTGCTACTGGGGCATTTCCATTCCCACCTCCTAATCACCGCAGTCTTAGGATGCAATGAGCTTAGTGCAAACTAAGAGCATGCAGGCTCAGAGGGGAAGTGTAAGGGGCCCCTTTTGGGGGGGGGGGTGACTGGAAAAGCTTCCCCAGGAACATTGGTTTGGGCTGCTCAGAGGACCCTTTTGCTGGTCTCTGGAGTTGGGCAGGCCTGGGTGTTAAGTCCCATCACATCACTTACTGGCTCTGTGACCATGAGCTTTTAGTTTTCTCATTTAACAGGGACATAATAATACGAATAGGTTAGTCAAGGTTAAATTCTTGGAACCTAACAGTCGCCCAATAAGACACGATGATAATTACTCCCATCTGTGTTCAGCTAGGCTTGATGAGTTTTCAGAGGCTCACAGATATATAATCTGATTCATTTTGAGGATGGGACCTTGGATCCTCTGTAGAGAAAGTAACTTGATCTGCCACTGGGCAAGATCAAGATTGCTTATTTCTCAGTATAACATTTTTTTTTTTTTCTGAAAAGAGGTTTTTGTGCAACTTTGTGCTGGAATAAAGTCAGGGGCTCCTAGGTAAAAAAACAAAGCCCTTTCTTTCCCACCATGGAACTAGGGTCTCGAAAAGCCCTGGAAATTTGAACAGGTTGTAAGCCTCATCTCATCACTTACTGGCTCTGTGACCATGAGGAAGTGGGCAACACTGTGACCCTATAGTGAGGGTAGATTTTCAAAAAACCTGTTCTGAATAGAACCCCCTAAGTGCCACAGAGAAGAAGCAAAGCTAAGGAAGGAACTAACTCTCTAAGGTCTGCCTTGCTTTGGGCACTTCCATATTTTATTCAGCCTCTATGAAACAGCTACCATCCATGCCTTCCTGATAAGGAAAACTGAGGGCCAGGGAGATTAAGTATCTTGCTCAAAGTCACACAGCAGGGATGGAGCAGGATCTGAATCCAGGTCAGCAGTCACCAAAGTCACATCCTCTCCATCACCCCACACAGCAACCAGCAGTCGGCAGCAAGCTAGAGAGAACCCGCACCTGCCGGGAGGCGCACGGTTGGATGCCAGCTGATGAGGTCCCCTTGCTGATCTGCAGGCCTGCAGTAATGCAAGGGGACACGGGTCTCCAACATAAAGGTCATAGGCTTTCGGTCAGATCTGGCCCGTGCACCTGGGTCAGCTGCTAACTTGCTGTGCAATGTTGGGCAAGCTGTTCTTTTTTTCCAGACCATACTCGTACCACCTAAGAGGCTCTCTTAGATTTTGGAGTAGTGACCAGTCCTGCTGTATGTGAGGCTGAGAGCTGGGAAAGGGAGAGAGGCATTGGTGGCCCAAGGGGAACACATGATTTGGCACCTGGGGGACCTGCATTCGAGTTCGGCTCTCCTACCGACTCCTGTGTGTTCCTGGGCATTTCCGAGCCTCGGTACCTTCCCGTGAAAATGAGGACAATCACTTATAGAATGTACAGAGAGAGTGAAATCCGTGCACAGAGAGAAGCAAAGGACCACGTTGCCTGAGAGTTACAGGGAGAAAAGCAGTTAAGTCAGGTAATGATTCATCTGACGGAAGAGCCACCATCTGCTCTGGCTCATCACAGGTAGGACAGTTCTGGAACAACCCATGTGGAAAATATAAGACAAAAGTTCTACGGCCAGGAGCTCCACGAGTACTATACATACCTGTTGCAAGGCCTGACTCAGAGCCAAACACTGTTCAAAATCTTTAGAATATGTGGCAACTTCTAAGCTGTTGGCCGTTGATTCTGTTTCCTCTGCCACTTACACTTTCTGGGTAGAGCTGGATCCAGGTCAGAAAACAGAGAACTAGACCATCTCAATAGCCTCCATCCTGGCTGGTCTCCCAGCCTCCAGTATCATAAAAGTCACATTGCAGGGGGCTATCCAGTGGCTCCCCAAGGGCCCTCAGAGAAGCTGGAACTTCTCAAACATGGCCCCCCTTCTCACCCAACCGCTCCCGCCTTGCCCTTGATGCTAAAGGAAGATCCTGAGCCTTGGATTAACTACTGCTGGTTGCTCCCATGATATCAGGCTGTTTCTCTCCTTCATGCCTTGCTCATGCTGAACCCTCTTACTACTTTGGCAAAATCTTATATAACATTTAAGATACACAGCTCTGTGTCACTTGAGAATGTCAGCTGGGAATGTCTTCCCTGAACTCTCATAATGACCTATGTATATCTCCATAAGCACGCACTCTATTGTAATTATGTTCTCATGTTTTTTGCTTCCCAACTCAAGTGTGACTTTCTTTAGAAAATGACTTCTTCACGGCTAGTTCACTGCTGTCTCCCAAGTAGTTAAACAGGGCCTGGCCCTGAGTGAGTGCCCAATAAATGTTTGCTGAAGGAATGAATAAACAAATCGTTTTGATCCCCTGTGCCCCATCCATTCCTGGCATGTAAGATGCTCAACGCATGCTTGTTGAACTGAGCTGAGCCAATTTTTTTTTTTTTTTTAAAGTAGGTTCCATACTCAGCATGGAGCCCAACACAGGGCTTGAACTCATGACTCAGATCAAGACCTGAGCTGAGATCAGAAGTCAGATGCTTAACTGACTGAGCCCCCCAGGTGCCCCCGAACTGAGCCAATCTGAAAGCTGCAGCCCTGGGGCAAAGTGTAGTTGCTGGCAAAGTCCAAGGGAAGAACCTTTCTCACCTGACAGGGGCTCCCCGTGACTGAGCGGGCTTCAGCATCACCGTGATGGTCGTGTCTGTTTCATTCAGTGGGGTGTCTGTGTCATATTCAGGCATCGACGGAGCTGGGCAGAGAGCAGAGAGAGGAGGGCACTCAGCACAGGTCCCAAACCCAGCTCACCACCTCCCCGTTGGGGCCATCCCTAAAGATACCCAGGATGACCAGTAGGGGGACATGTGGGAAAGGGTTCGGTGAGAGGCACATGGTGTCCCAGGCTTTCAGCAGAGCACGCTCTCCTTCCCACCTGCCCTCGGGTCCCTCCCAGGTGCGCAAGAGTCTGGGGAACAATGGCCATGAGGTGGCCAGCAGCCCTCAGGAATCAAAAAGTTCCACACCAAATAAACAGATAAATGCAGGAAGTCTAAGTACTTAACAAAGACGTGAAGGCAGAGCCGATCTTGTTCAACACATTTGAAATGCAAATCACAGCAGTGATGAACTAGTTCCTCTTATCTTTTCTCTCTCTCTCTTTTTTTTCATGAGACCCTCCCTTCTCTCAGCCCCAACTGATAGGAGTATGAAAATCTAATCCCTTGGGAAGGTAATCTAGCCATTTATATTAAGAGCTATTAAAACCCACATCCCTTTTAATTCAGTATTTCAATTTCTAGAATTTAATCCTAAAGTTATAATCCAAACCAAGGAATTAAACTTTATTCTGTAACAAGTTTATGAAGCATTATGTTATAAAAACATGGAAGCACCAAATATATCCAACCACAGGGGAATGTTTAATTAAATAACGTCCATCCACTTGACAGAACATTATCATGAAAGCAATGTACCAACATGGAAAACGCTTATGGTATAAAGATAAGTGAAAACATTAAGCTGCAAAAACCACTGTGGGTATCTATACAAACTATGTATGTATGCAGGCCAGAATTGCACAGGGAGTCTCAAAAAATGAAAATTGTAAAATGGGATCCGAGATAATTCTGTATTGATGTTGCCCGGTGGTGGAGGGGGCCCTCCCATGGACGGCAGGTGAAATCTCAGACTTCTATGGCTTTGGACTAGTCATTCATTCATTCATTCATTCATTCACTCATTCTCAGACATTTCATGAGAACTTGTGCTGTGCTCTGTACTGCCAAAAGGAATATTGCTGAAAGCACATTTTTACAAACCAATTTGTATGAGAAAAAATGTACTATTTAATGCAGTTGTGTGGTAAATTATTTGCTGAATCACTTAGCATTCCCGCTGGTCTAGTCTAATTAGTATGTTTTTTACACTTTAGGAAGGTCGTGGATTCGGTTTCTTCACAAGACTACCATGCTAACACGTTAGGGACTGCATCATCCTAATTGCTCCAATACCACCAGGTGACAGCTGGCTCTGCCCTTTTTTGCTCCCAGAAAATTAGAAATGGGGAAAAAAAAAACCCAGAACACGCTTCTTCCCTTTTCCCTTTCTATTAAGAGAGATACCTGAAATTTTGGTGGCAATCCTAGTGGTGACAGGGGGCCCGAAGCCTTTTGCTGTGCTGGCCTTGATGGTGAAGGAGTAGGTGGTCCCCGGGTACAGACCCACAAAGAGGTGGTGGGTTTCATTCCGGAGCTTGAAGACTTTCCCCCGCTGGCTGGAGAGGTCAGCACTCGGGTCCAGTGAACCAACAGCCTTGTAGTTGATCTGTACGACAAACCAGCAAACAAACAAGTAAATACCTCACTCAGGAAGCTAGACGGAGCTCATCCAGGGAAACATCAGGAGAGGCAAAGAAAAGGAGGCATGTAGGCTTGAACAGCAAGCTCTGCTGTGACCGTCCACTTTCCAGATTATCCCAGCCTCGAATACTCCACTGTTGATACACGGGAGCCTTGCTGCCCAACAGAAACAGAATGTGAGCCACACACCTGCTTTTCAACCTTCTAGTGGTCACATGAAAACAGAAGAAAGTAAAAAAGAAAGTAGAATTAATTTTAATAATATATTTTGTTGAACCCGATATTTGCAAAGAATTATCATTTCAACCTGTAATCAGCCTAAAAATCTAACACGGTATCTTATATTCTGTTATTCATATCAGGTCTTAGAAATCTCGTATGTACTTTGTCCTTAAGGCACATCTCCATCTGGACTAGCTACATTTCAAAAGCTCAGGAGCCATGTGTGGCCAGAGGCTGCCATATTGGACAGCACTAAGAGCGGTGTTTATGCACGGCATCCGGTAAGAATGGTTTGGAAGGCTAATTTAAAAGGCAGTTCCCGTGTCCCTTGGTGTCCACATGGCACTCTCTGGTGCTTTTTCTTTTTTTTTTTTTTACTGCTCTTCACTTTATTTATTTTTAATTTGTTTTTATTATTATGTTATGTTAATCACCATACATTCCATCATTAGTTTTTGATATAGTGTTCCATGATTATTTGCGTATAACACCTCGTGCTCCACCATGCAGAACGTGCCCTCCTTAATACCCATCACCAGGCCAACACATCCTACCACCCCCTCCCCTTTAGAACCCTTAGTTTGTTTTTCAGAGTCCATTGTCTCTCATGGTTCATCCCCCCCTCCGATTTCCCCCTCTTCATTCTTCCCCTCCTGCTATCTTCTTCTTCTTCTTTTTTTATTTTAACATATAATGTATTATTTGTTTTCTCTGGTGCTTTTTCATGCATTATCTTGTTCCTCTTCCCCAAACCTTGGGGCATCAGGATACTTATTCTCATTTTTAATGGTGGAGACACTGAGGCTCAACTGGAAGTAACTTGCATGAAATCAGCACTTTCCAAACTCTCTACAGTAAAGGCCCAGTTTTGTGTTTCTCAATCCACTGCTGACCCATGATCTGCAGACCACATGGGACTCATCACGTGAGTCTGGTCACAGCCAAACTGGTCTGCAATCCGTGTGATGAGACCCGTCCACTCATCACACACTTGGGTGTTGCAGCAATGTCAAGGTACTACGAGAGTTTCTAAGCGTTCACTCCCAATTTCTGCACTTACCCTGCTGTGAAGGTAACCAAACAGGTGGCATTCCAGCACCAGCCCCCACAGATCCCATTCTGAGTGCCACATTCCTAAATCACACAGTTGTTGAAGTGACAAATACAGGATTGTGTGTTTGTTTCATCTAGTCTGTTCTATTAAAAATGTTTTATTAGAGTATAACATACATACAGAACACTATACAGTTCAATGAATTCTTACTAACAGGACACTGGCCAATAACCCAGCACCCAGTCAAGAGACAGAACATCACCGGAACCAAGACGTAGCCTTTGTGCCCCCTTCCCATCTCCTGCCTCCCCCAACCGCAACCCAGCAAGGATAACTTCTATCCTGACTTCTAACAGCACAGACTAGTTTTGCCCGGTCTTGTACTTTATATAAATGGAACCATACAGGGTGTACTCTTGCATGTCTGGCTTCTTTCACTCCACATCATGTTGGTGAGAGTCATGCAGGCTGTCCCGTGTCACTAGAAATCACGCATTCTCGTGGTTATGCAGTATTCTACCACCGACACACGACAAACCCAAGTCTGGGGGATCTGACCGCTGTGCTCCTTATTCTATAAGGAGCTGCCCGGCTTGGAGACAACACATCTAGACAACACACCTAAAGAATGCATTCATTCGATCCATTTACTCATCCACTTATTTGCTCCTTCACGAATGTTTCCCGCGCAGGCCTGTATTCTGGGACCTGCGCTGTGTTCTGCTGGGAACAGCCCAGGTGAGTGCAGGCTTGACCCTGTGCCCTGGGGTCTTCCGTTCCAGAGCGAGGCAAGGCAACGACACAGACACCGAACGTCACTCTGTCTTCTGTAGAAGACTCAACGGGGAGACCAAACCCAGACCGCAACAGGAACACACCAACTTTACGTCCGAAATAAGCAGTTGGCTGTTTCTGGCAAGGGCACCAGATGTTTTGGAGACAGAGGTAAGTTCTCTGTCCTCTGTCCTGCAGTAGGTGTGTAGGAATCGATGTCACCTGCCGAGGAGCGAGGCCAGACTACTTGGGGCAGAGCAAACCCTGGAGGAGAAACACGCAGAGCTGAAGGATTTGGGCACTTTGCAAGCAGAGCCACCGGCCAGGGGCACCCGGGCCACAGGTCCTTGGCGAACCTGTCCCCAGCTTTCCCTCTGGTCACCTCTGCCTCGTCCATGCTTCTCGGAGGGAAGCACTGCAAACATCTGCCTCTCTGTGCGTGAGTGCTGTTCCGAGGCGGGGGGCACTCGCAGGAAGCTCTGGATAACGAGCACCCCCAGTGACCAGACTCACGGTAGCTGATGTACACATTCGCTGGGCTCCTCCCACGTGACACCCCCACAGCATCCCAGGGGACTTCTTGGAGGGATTCCACTCCGACTGCCTCCAAAGGTAGCCAGCTGGGGAACACATCCATCACTGGCTTCCTTTCCCTTCCCCACTCCTGCTTCTCAGTAATCTACTTATATTTGAGTCTATGTCTCAGGGTCACCAAACTAAGACAGTGTGCTCCTGGAGGTTTCTCAGGGGAGAAGTGGGCTAACATCTGATGATGACAGAGTCAGAGCAGAGGTGAGAGCATTCTAGGTTCACAGCAAAGGGAACTGCCTGGGTGAAGGCCTGGGGGAGGAACAGAGTTGGGAGGAGTGAGGAGAGCCCAGTGTGACTGGTGGGTGGTGAGCAAATGGGGGAGCTGAGCCCCCCATGTGCAGCTGGATTCCAGTTTCCCGGTGGCACAAGAACAGAGACATCCAGAGAGCTCTGCTGGGTGGCAGCTGACCCCAGTCCACCAGGTGCTCATGCATTTTGAAATTCTGCCCCTGTCCCCTTGCCTGGGCTGGTGGCAAGCACACTGATATACAGACACTGGGAGGTAAAACTCATGCCTTATTTACTAGCCAATTCCTTTCCTGCACTCCAAATTCAATCCAAAAGCGACTCAATTTCCACCGAGCTGTCAATATAATATACTGTGCTCCCCTGCTCTCCTAACCTTTCCTGGTATTACAGGATCCTCACTTACTTGTAATGAAACACTATGAATAAATCAATGTATGTTAATATAGCGTGTCTTCAATTTTTTATGAAGGGCTTCACCAAATCTAATTCCCACTGCTTTGTCAGAAACAGTCTTTGAAAAATTTAACTTGCAAGTTTTACGAAGTTAGTTGGGGATTGGCCTGGGGAGGGAAAGCCAGGAGGTGAGAAAAATGGAATGGGATGGAGCTGTGTGGTCATAAAATGCATAATGCAATGTGAACTTTGGAACTGGAAGAAGAGCAAGATTTGTTAGAATAGCAAACATAAAATAAAGAGTTAGTGGGGGAAAGGGTGCTGAGCTGCCTGTCAACCCGGGTCTCTTTTGATCGCTGTCAGGGAGATTCCCAGCCAGAAGTCAGAGTGAGCACTTCATAAGGAGAATCTAGTCATATCACCCCTTAGAGTCAAAAAAGCAGTGGTTTCCCATTGCTCTTGGGATTAAGAGCACACTCTTACCCTGTGGTTTTCATCACTCCCGCGCCATCCCTCTTGTGTTCCAAGGCTCTATTCCAGTGTCTGAAAAGAGCTATGGTTCCTTTGGCCACAGGGCCTTTGCACCAACTATTCTGTCAGCTGAGAACACTTACCCCTTCCCATGCCTTCCTTTCACCTAATTAATGACTCCTCATCTTTAGATCTCACTTAAAATGACACTTCAACAAATGGATGGTCACCAGAGGGGAGGTGGGTGGGAGGATGGGTGAAACAGGTGAAGGGGATTAAGAGGACACTTATCCTGATGAGCACTGAGTAACATACAGAAATGTTGAATCACTGTATCATACACGTGAAACATGTAACATTGTATGTTAACTATACTGAAATTTACAAAAATAAATACATAAAAGGCACCCTCCCCCTGCAAATGACACTTTTCATGAGTACCTTCTCCGACTCTCCGGTCCTCCTATTTTATGTTCCCAGAAGAACATCTCTTCCCTTTGAACGACTCACTTTACAGTGAGCCATGCAATTGTTTCATTCATGAGTCTCTTTTCCACTAGCCCAAGGGTTGAAAAAGTAAAGCCTGGAAGCCAAATGTGTCTCATCATCTGTGTTGGTACATAAAGGTTTACCAGAGCACAGCCATGCCTTTCAGTTACGGATCACTATGGCTGCTTCCACACTTCAAGGGGGGAATTAAGTCATGGCAGAGAGACTATGGCTCATACAGTGTAAAACATTTACTCTCTGCTGCTTTATAGAAAAAGTTTGCTGACCCCTGTAGTAGACTTTAAGCTCCACAAGGGCAAGGATCTTATCCAGATAAGATACATGCTTCCCCATGCAGTATAAATGAATGATCAAACTAGCTATGCAGTTTGAGCAATTTGCTTCACTTCTCTGAGTGTAGGGTTCTTCCAGGGTTAAATAATCATTTTAATTTTGGTTTCTGTTTGATTTTGCAGAGTAACCCCCACTTCTTCACTCCTGGAAGGCAGCCTCTTTGATCAGGAGTGAGGCTCCAGGGGGGTCCATGAGCAGCTTCTGCCTTTGCATCAAGGCTCTGGCTGCCATGGACCATGGGTCACCTTGTGAAGAACAAGCAGCCTTTCTAGCCCAGGCTGCAGAGGATGTGGCAAGAGAGGCAGGAAGAACAGAAGGAAATGATTTCCCTCAAAGAGCCCCACCAGGAAAGACCTGTTTGTTTCTTA